ACCACGGTAGACTCCCTTGGTCCAGGCATCTGGAGAGGAGTGTCAATTGGTGTTGAAGACGGAACCTAAGTCTCTGGGTAAACGGCAAGGACAGGAGTGTCCAAGACCGGCTCCTTGGCCTTTGGGTCTACCCCAAAGGAAGGAACAGCTGAGATGCGTCAAGTCAGACAACGTATATCGAAAGGACACACAGTACTTCCGGGATGGAGGATTTGAAGACATGTGCGTGTTTAAGCGGCTGGCCGTTGTTCAAGGGTAGAGGGCCGCTATGGTGAAGCATTTCAAAAAATAGCAGGCCAGAGTACTGGTGGGTGAAGGAGAAGGGGGCTCTCCAAGGAGGAGCGATCGTTGGATGAGAAGGGTTGTGCGGTATAAGCGTGCTCCATTAAGAAGAGCTAGCCGCGGTCAGTCTGATGAACCGCAATTCCTCGAGGTGGACCCCAGTCATTTCGAGGTTGACCCTGGCCCCTCGTTGGTAGACCTTTGTCTTTCAAGGTTGACCCCGATCCCTCGTTTTTACACCCTGGTTCCTCGGTCGGTAGACCTCCGTCCCCTCAGTTCTTCGGTCCCGGCCTCTCGGTCACGCGACCCTTTGGTCGCCCGGCCACTTTGTCACCCGGTCCCTCGGTAACCCTGTCACCTGGCCACTCGGTCACCTGGCCCCTCGGAAAGCAGAATCAAGAACCAGGTCTTGGGGTAAGGATAGAGTAAAGAAGTTAAAAGATAAAACCATATCAATAACTACTACATTTGCGATCTACATAGCACACCTCGGTCGTGCTTCGAGGTACTTCACCTGTTCCGGGAAGGGATACATTTTGGCCCCCCGTCGAAGACAGTTGTGTAGCAAAGACCCAAGTGCAAATAGAGCTCCAGGATATATTTGGCCTTGTGAATTTGTCTGAGTCGCACCCCTCAATCGACCCGCTATCGGAAGCGATTGCCCTGTCCTAGTGGTCCGGAAGCAGGTAAATGCCAGTCGGTCAACACCCCTGAGATATCAAGGAAGGAAAAGACCAGGATTGAGTATCTCCTCTGAATAATTTTGTCATAAGTACAACCTCGGCCTTGTCGACCGAGACTAGATGATACTTGGTAAGATGGATTAATGAATGTTTCATACTTTAGATACGCTGGGTATGGGCATATTTACATCGACTTCGTCGGTCAGTAGGCGTGACAACAATACGGAGGCTGGCAAGATGGCGACGTAGAAAAATGTCAAATACCCCATCTGGTTGTGGTGCAGTTGTATGCTCCGTGCATGTACAAAAAAAGCCAGTATACGTACTTCTGTTTATTCAATTGTCGAGTGGTCCATTCCCATGGATCATTCGCTTATTGTAGCTTCATGCTTACGCCAAGTCAAATACAATATCACTCAAACTAGACAGCAAATTTCTAAGACTATCAATAGTCGCCGGTACTATATTGGAATTCAAACACGTGTTTTCAACCAAAGATCGACAACCTTTAGTTCATCGTCATCTTCAGGTGCCACGTATCCGCCTACCGAGTGAAGTATACCCACTAAAGCCATTCCTAGGTCGAAATCTCTCAAGGCCGACATCACATTTCAACCAAGCCCTCTGAAGAGTGCAATCTGCCAGTCGAAGGTACACAAGGTGAGAGAAGGTCTATACGCGGCATCGGGGTACCCCCTCCGACAGTCGGCAGTCCGGCACAGTGAGTGGTGTGGGTTCTCATTACGCAGCTTTGAGAACCCGCTCCACCGCAAAAGCACCTATTCTATGCTCACTGCTAGTCACTATTTACTGGTTCTGTAGCCTATCACTATGCAAACATGTATAGTCACTATACTTAACTTAGTATAGTGACCACGTTGCGACTCTTCTTACCTTAGGTACGGTCACATCGAACCTACTGCTCTGCCCAAGGTACAGCCCACACCACAATGGTGTGGCAGGTGTGTGTAAGTACAATACACACCGTTACACTAGACATAAATGTGCGATGATCTGACCCATAGCGAAGGCTAACATTCCCCTATTGTACCGCTTAGGCAGAGCATCTGTGGAGATGATCTTTTTCATTTTAAGTAGCCGACATCTACAATCATGCAGGTTGCAATGTCGAATGCATCAATTTGTCGCTTGGCGTCTATACAAGCAGCAATTCAGCCAAGTAGACACGCATTTCTCTTTTGAATTGGTCACGCTTGTGAAGTCGTTGATGGCATTTCTGAAGAAAGCGAGGCAACGCAAGACTTTTGACGCAATACAAGTTGTAGTTCGTCAAGACTTGTACTAAAACGGATTAGTGTCAAGATAAGGCCCCTTTTTTTCACGAAATGAATGTCATAATTTTTTTCGAGTTTCCACCTCATGTGGCCTAATATGAAAGCAATGCATATGTTTGGAGGACAAGAAGTATATAATAGTGTACGCTTATGCATGGTCGAAAATGAATTTATTGTTGTCAACGCTTATATATTCTCAGCTTCAATGTATTCAAATAAGACTTACCTGACTACCCATTAGATTCTTCCATCTCATCGTTACACACGAAATTCATAAACTCCTCCTCCCACTCCTTCGTCCACAGAATTTTATCGCCTATCAGAACTTCCAGCTAGCCGACAAAGCACATTTACGCAAAGTGTCCGTCGGTCACGTGCATATTCAGGGTACCCTCTTCCTCTTATTCGAAGAGGTTTGGCCTTTGTTGAATCTCTTCAAACTCTCGTTTTCAAGTTTCTCAATGCGGCTCATATTCATCACTTTATTTACGATAATCTGAAATTCTTTACGATTCAAATTGGCTACCGCACGACCAAATTGAGCTCTGAAGTTAATCGTTAATGTTATCATCTTTTCAGAATTCGCGGCGTTATACATATTCGCCAGCTTCTCTGTTTTAAATCCAAGGCTGTTCAATATCGACAAAGCTGTAGTAGCTGGGAACGAATTGACGTCTGGAGTAGCTGGGAATGAATTAAGGTCAATTTCCGGAGTAGCTGGGAATGAATTGAGGTCGTTTCTGGAGTAGCTGGGAATGAATTAAGGTCAATTTCTGGAGTAGCTGGGAATGAATTAAGGTCAATTTCCGGAGTAGCTGGGAATGTATTGAGGTCGATTTCTGGAGTGGCTGGAAATACATCGGGGTCGATTTTTCTTTTCCGGCTATTTTTTTGCTTCGCGTTGTACTTTTCAACGTACCTCAACCATAAATCAAAACGTGGCTTCTCAAAAAGATTGCCCTTGTCCGTGATGAGACCAAGATGAATGAGAAGAGAACTTGAAGACATATCTTCGTCAAGCCAAGATTTCATGATCTCGTTTAGCACCTTGCGTCGAATTGGAATCGCATATGGACTCAACTCCGTATTACACGTTATATCCACCAACTGGACGTCAATATCCTTCAAATGAAAGAGCACGTCTTTTAGGTCGGTATATCCAGTTTTGCAAAAACTTTGCCATATAGGTAAACCATTCCTTTATATGCAGCATTGAAATAGTAGCAGGGTCGATTTTGTCGAGCTCTAGATATTTAAAAACATCCGCTGGGCTTATATACGCTTCCAGCCAGTGCTCCATTGCAGCACGGAGAAACTTATTAATCGTGTTGTCGTCTTTGTAAGCTTTTACAAGCGTTTGGTAAACCGTAGTTAGACTCTGCGGGTTTTTTTCGTTATAAAGCTTCAAATAATTTTTCCAGTGAACGAAAATTGGGCTAGTTAGAAGACCGGAATTTGTCAAGCTGTATTCGTCCAACTTCATCCAAACGAAAACATCATAGGGTATTATGTTACTAATCAGGAGTTGCTCAAGATTGACGCTTAATGCTGTAACAGGAGAACCTTCCGCATCTGTAATGAATCTGTACTGTCTCTTGGGTTTGTAACGAGCGCTAACTATATCATAGATTGTGGCATGGCTCGAGGGGTTCCTCTTCTTAAACAATTTCACGTAGTTGATCCAATCTATAAACGAGTGGTCAGTCAAGACGTCATCAATTGCTTTATCTTCCGGCACAATTGACTCCGCGAAAAGCTCCTCGGGTGTCTTAACCTCATCCAGCCATTTCTGTTGTGTAGGCGTTGGTTTTAATTCATTATCCACGCTCAAATTTTCCATGATTTTGTTAAAACCATAAGGTCCAAAGTAATAGATTAGGGTATCATAGAGCGTGATGTCACAACTGGGGTTGCTTTCCTTGTACTTGCTCACGTATAATTTCCAAGCCTTTAATTTTTGGTGATCAAAAAACTTATCCAGAACGTTGTGAAGATCCAAAATTTCAAAAATCTTATCCGTTGAATGCTTTTCCTTAAGCCACTGCTCGAGGGAAACTCTTATATTACTTGACTCACTTGCGATTGCTTCAGCTTCTGCAATAATAGTCCTCTCTTCTTTGATCTTGTAAACGACTTCTTGGCCATCATTTACATTTGACGCGCTTGTATTCGCATCTAGAGTAGCAAGAATATAGTATTCTCCTCTTTTGTCTCGTGAACGAGTTCATGCGCTCGCAAGAACCTCGTGGGGCCATCCACGAATGGGTCAGCTGAAATATCTGACGTTGCTTTCGCACAAGCATTCAATTGGTATGCCGTGATACCCACGCACGTTGATGCAAATAGAAGGCGCATGCTTTCTCTCAACGTACCTGTGCGACTGCAAACTGCGTTTATAAAAGTGGTGGGTGCGAGGGGGAATTAATATTTTTTAATATGCAAACCTTTCATTTCCTATACCCTGTATAAGTATATGCGCAAAGTCAGAATAATAAGTTTTTATCCTTTTTTTTTAATTATTAGATTCAATATACCTTTCTTTTAAGTCAACGGGGACAGTTTTTTCCACTTGAAAAATGCAATCGCAATCTTGTCACAACTAATACAAGTAGCTTCCGCATTTACATCACGGCAGCACGGCTGCATCAGCTAGTGTCTTACACCTTGTGGCTAGATTTGAAAGACAGAGCTAAAACGTACGGCGCTGCTGACGTAATGATGGGTACAAAAGCTAACTGATATGGACAGCTATTTCAACGATAATTTACCTAAATGTGGACACAGAAGAAAGTACCTGATTAACGCAGTGCCGAGAGAAATTGCGTGCTTGCTGCGCTAAGATTTGGCTCCGTGTACAAAGTGATATGTACTTACTTTCGGCTTCTTGACTACTCGACAATCTTTGTTTTAAGTGCAGGTTTGCTCATTCAATGTTGAAGCATTGTATGCAGTATTTCCCTACGACACGCTTGAAGAAGGCAAAGACAATGTGTTTCTCCGGTGACGATGCTTTTACTTGAAAAGAAGGCATTTTGGTGAGTTGCGAGACATTGTGAGAAATTGTAAGTGTTACACCTATCAGCTTTAGTGATGGCGCTGATTTGAAGACACAGTTGCTGCAATGGAGAAGGAGTTGGAGGTAGAGCGCACTAATGGAGACATATTGCCATCGGCGTAAATTGGATTGCCCTCCATGACGTATTTCGTTTTATTGGCGAAAGCAGCATGTTGCAAATCTTGTTATGCGCGAGGTGAAAGTTGACGTCACGTTGATGATAGTTCGCAGGTGTAAACAGCGGCTACAACAGTGGCCATGCTACGTGTATGCGTGAGACTTCACTGTTTGTCGTTTAATGTGACATATGAAGCACCACTTGACGCTTACATGTGTTCTCTTACAGATTGGATGCATACATATGCAAGGCTCTCGCTAAGCTGTTACTGGACTAACTTCGATATGAAAAGAAGACCAACGGCTTTGAATTGTTTTCGTCCCCAGATTAAAGCTGACGTACCGTAAAATGTGTTGTGGACCGCAGGAGTGCGGTAATGTATTCATCATTACCAGCACCAACATTGACAGCAGTGGTATCAAGACCTGGTATTACTATGTCAGTTGCATCAGTCCTGCGTCTACGTTCCTATTGCTCGCATATCTCTCGGGTGTGCCTTTGGCTGAGGATCGCTATGACGAGCGCTTTGGATTGGATCTAGACTACCTCGAGTACAAGCACTCGACCAGTCCACTGATCATGCTGTCTCCTTCCATCTACCGCTCAATCCCGAACCCGATCAAGCGCTGGTATCTGTTCGAATTGAAAAGATTCTCACACTAATTGCAAGAACTTCGTAGCACGGAACACAAAGTATTGCACGCTACTTACCAGGCCATTCATAATAACATCAGATGTTACTCTTCCCTGCACAACAAAAACTCAATTGATCTGCATCAACTAATTGAAAAGAAAACCAAATTCATTTGCTTTCATAAGAAAAGAAAGCATCAAACGTGAATAGATGACAACAAGCTCATGACTCTCTGCAAGCTTGTGGCCACAGTGATGATTGATGATGACTCGAGCATACATCTTCATTTCGATCCATCAACGTTCTGCTGCCACACTAAACACGTCCTCCTCTCTTTCGTCTTGTGTCTTCCATCCACGCACTCGTCACCTCATTCAAGTGTGATATATCCGTCAAGCGACGCCAGCATAGCCAACACTTGACTACCCACAACCTGTCACCACACCCATAGTCTGTCTTTGTAGTCTTGTACTAGCCAACCCATCTCAAGCTCACTTATAGCTTTTCCAACTTGCTAAACGTGCCACCTCCAGGGTTACGACGTGCTGATTCAGCACGATCCGCGGTCCTGAAATCAAAACTGCACGGGTGCTGGTCCACAAATCGATGGCTATTGCAAAACACATAGCCACAACGACACTCCATAGCAATGAGTCACACTTCCTTCTTACACTCCCAGCAGCTTTTTTATTCTTTTGTGCTAATTTCTCCACACATTTATCTACTATTTCCTGTAATAACATTGTCTTACTCTCCATTATCTCCTCAACAAAAGACGGAGCAGCAGTAGAGAGAAAGAAGTAGAGAGTGTTAGAAGTAGCAGCAGTAGTAGTAGTAGTAAAGTCGACTCTACTGAAACCAACTCATTCATCTTCATCGCCATTGAACGAGGTACAGTCAATGTTGTCTCTACTTGACGATCATACATGGTCTTTGTCCAACAGACTGAACACATTCGACCGCTGCCTGGGGCACCAAAGAAGTCACAACCATTTAGACCTCAATTCGCCGCTTTCTTGCTCTTGCTGCATTTTCATAAAAAGTTGAAATGTGAGGCAAAAATGACCGTTTCTATTGTCGAAAATATTACTCTTCACTTTACTATAGTCGAAAATAGTGCCTAAACTTACTTCACAGTCACTTTGTTTACTTACTTTTTACCAGGTAAAATGATGAATGTTTGTCTTTTTCCTTTTCCTTCTTGCTTTTATGCCTCATACAGTCCATGTTTTACTATACAGCGGCATTGGTGCAACCCAACTTGCAAGGTGCGGAAAAGAAGAAGGTATGATCGTTGATGCTGTACAGTAGGAAACAATAAAGCGTTTAGCCTCGTATCTGATATGAAACATTTGTAAAAATGTAATAGGCGGACGGACGGCTATTAGTTTTCTTTCGTCAGTAAGTATTACAAACTACAAATATTACATTAGTAGGCAGACGCTGTACCCAAATAGTGGTACAGTGTGACATAATCTTATTTGCTGATAAATGAAATGTTAGATCCAATATCAGCCTATGAGATATCAATATATATTTGAGTTGGAACACAATCGTACTTAGGATATAAATACATGTAAACGAGTTGCTACTAATGGCAGGAGTCGCTCAACACCTCAATGGATTAATGGATGAACATTGGCGTCACTAACCATCACTTTACATTGATGATTGGAACTGACGCATGACGAATTAAAATGTCGTTGAACACAACGCTAGAAAATGAAAAGTGGCGGAAGGATGTGCTTTTACTGTTACTGTAATGGTCTCCTCTATCAAATACCCGTTTACAAATGTCGATCACGTTTGCCAGTCTTACTATCGCCGGCAAAATTCATGTGCTTTGTTGTGACTTAGATGCTTTTCGCTCCATGGTGACTACCAGACGTACACTAAAAACCTTTGGCTATGACGATGAGTCTGTCGTTGCTGCACTTGCTCTTCGACTGGCCCGTTTCCTTGAAGATGTAAACGACTGGTCCGCGTGAGAGAAAAAAAGTGTAGTTCGTATATCACTTCGAGGTATGGCGGCTAAATTGGCTTTGCAATGTCCCTTGTCGATCGAGTTTCGACTCCACTCGTCAAAGGCCTGCAGGTAATCAGTAGTCTTGGAAGTTATCAAGGTGTGGCGGGCTCAGCGTTGGCAGCTCAAAATACGATCTGCGGCGAAATCTGTGCGCCTCTTGCTTTTGGATACGCTGTGTACTCGTTGATGTATGACACACACGCTAGCTCACTTGAGTCACACGCGATCCTATAGCTGGTCACTGACTATTGAGTCGGATCCGTTGCTCACTTGCAGTGGGTCCCTGCTTGTCTACCCTGTAAACAACATGTTAATCTACGATTGTGTGCTTTTGTTATCAAAATGCCGACGCTGCATCGCATCTCGTGTTTTCGCGACGACATTGTATTCATCGTGTACCTGTATCAGCGCTTGATTTATCCGGTTGATGCCAACGACTGGAGGACGTTCCAGACGGTGCATCCACCTCCGAGGTCGCCTCTACCAAGCCGCACAATGACTTTAGGTCTGTACCAAGCAACGAAGCTTCGTTGTTGTATGCAACTAGATGTAGCCGAGCTACTGTAGCCGAGAAACCCTAGCCAAGCTACTTATACACTACGTGCGAGGAAGACAAGCTCAAAAGAGCTCATACGTCTTACGGTGCTTAACCCTCCCAAGGGCTACCTCGTAAGCTTGTGTCTATCAATTGTCACAACCGGGTCTCAAAGAGACTAGTATCAACGATACAATTTCTCAGGAGGAATAGAACGCTCAAGCAGTGATGCTTATAGAGCAGGTTTGAAACTGATTTATATTTATGTCCATCTTCTAGCACTAAATATAGAAGCACCTACACTATACTTAGTGCTAGTCACTATTTACTGGCTCTATAGCCTGTTATTATTATGCAAATATGCATAGTCACTATACTTTAAAATAAATATAGTGACCACTTGGCTCTCTGCCACGATGCGACCCTTCGTACCTTAGGTACGGTCACATCGAATCGACTAATGTATCCAAGGTACAGCCACACCACATTAGTGTGGCAGGTGGGTACACCTTTGTGTATCCCCGTTACACCCGCCGTCACCAATCCGTGGGACCCGACGTACCCACGATTTGCTAACTTGTGTGGAGGGGTTTTTATCGATTTTTATTTTCTTCCCCCCATCTTGCTTGCCTCACACTTTAATACAAAGCCTTTGTGTTCCTGACACTTGCCCCTTGAGCATCTGTGCTTTGCGCTCATGCTATTTACGCACCCTAGTTTGATTACATTTGCTCTTTGAGCATACAATGCATTGTACTCACGCTAAAGCATTTAGTGTTGCGCCACTTGCTTATAAGCGTTGTGAAAGATTGAAGAGCATTTAGTGTTGCATTGCTTAAAAGCGTTAAGCGCCTAGCGCTTGGTATTAAAACCCATTATGTGTTTACGAACATTTGCTTATGCAGCATTAAGTACTTAACACTGTACCTATTGTGCTCGCGTCAGCATAAATGATGCAATGAGCCGCGACAACTTTGGGGACGATGACAGTGACGTTGCCTGTCGCCGAGTCTCCGCTAAATCATTGTACCCACAAAATCACCATGCTCACCAAGAGAGGGACGTGGATCCCATCCTGTGTCTACTTCTTCCAAGGGGAACAACTGGGTTGAGCCAGGCACCACCGCTTCCCTCGCGAGAGGGTGCCGACAAAGAGGGAATTAACCCTCTTGACGCTGCACAGCGTCGTCAACTTGATGACGAGACTTTGGCTGCCGCATTGGCACGGCCCAAACAAACCCTTTTACGTCATGATTATGGGTTCGTGCCTCGTAATCCAAATGAGGAAGCTCGATGAGCTGCATCGCAATCTTTGCGTACCTGTGTCATTGGGTCTAAGGCCCGCACTTTTTTGAGGTTGCGGATCGTGCCGCTTGTCGTACGTATGGTGAAGCGTTTCAAGAATAGGTAGGCCAGAAGACCGGTGGGTCAAAGAGAAGGGGGCCCACTAAGGAGGAGCAACCATTAGGTAAAGGACAGAGAGACGGGACGCAAAATAAGGGACGGCCGACGACCGTTGGATGAGGAGAATGTACGTTTTAATCGTGCTTTATCCAGACAAGCTAATCGTGGTCAGCCTGACGGACCGCGGTTCCTCGAGGTAGACCCCAGTCTTTTAAGGTTGACCTGCGCCCCTCGTTGGTAGACCCTTGTCTTTCGTGGTGGACCCTGTTCCGTCGTTTGTAGACCCTAGTCCCTCGTTTCTAGACCCTGGTCTTTCGCTGGTAGAACCTGGGGGGGGCCGGTCCCTCGACAAGCAGAATTAAGTTCCAGGTCTCGGGGGTAGGAATAGTGTAAAGAAGTTAAAAGATCGGACCATATTAAATTTTACTCAATTTGCAATCTATATCGCACACCTCCGTCGTGCTTCCAAGGTATCTACTAAGTCTACCCACTTGATTCGGTAGGGAATACATATATTTTTTTTCAATTTTTTCCGCCCAACGTACCCAATCGTCCGTAGCTACAAAGCATGTGATAAAGTCACAGGATCCACGGACGGCCTAGAGACGCAACAAAGTCTTCATATGACCGTGAGTGTATCAAAGACTTAAGAGACAAAAAGCAGTCGCCCATCGTAGG